ACATGTTTTTTCTCAGATGGAACTTGCAAAATGCTGCTCTTTCTCTTGCTAATGTTACTTGCATCAGAGCCATTCACATTTGGGTTCTGGTTCTTACTTATCACCGACTCATGAACACTGAGAATATCATGACTCACAGTAACCTTAGAAAGTATTGAGACCAATGCCTTCACTTCATAGTTAAAAGAGTAACTACAGTTCAAAAGTACTTTTCTCAAAGTATCCCATATCCTGAGTAGCTGAAAGAAAATTTGTCAGTCAGTTGCCCTTTGCACTGTGTTCATACCTTCATTTACTCATGTAATCACGCAGTCATTTCTTCACATGTTAAATACTCTCAAGTTTCTTATCTGTGTCATGTTGTATTTTAAGCTCTGGAAATACAGCCATGAATAAAATTCCTTCCCTAGGAACTATATTCTGGGGAGAGGGTGACAATCAGTAAGCAAAATAGGTAAAACTTCAATAGGATGTTACATGATAAATGCTATTAAAAAAAAAAAACTAAGTGGGAGTTCAATTGTAAGAAAAGACCTTAGGATGTTGAACTCTCATCTCCACTTGATGGGCTTAGGGAATGAGCCCTGTGAATAGCAGAGGACAAAATGGTTCAAGAATAAACATAGTAAACACGAAGACCCTAAGGCCAGAACATGCTAGTTGACCTCAAGAAACAGCAAGGAGGTCAGTGCTACAGGAGCCCACAGAGCGAGGGGAGAGAACGCAGAACATAAGGGCGGAGAGCTGGCTGCCTCACCTCTTCTTATGACTTAGACAGTGATGTGTGAAACCAACAAATGATTTGCGTAAAGGAGTGACACAATAGGACTGATGCTTTAACAGCTTTAGTCTTGGTTTTGGGTCAAGTATACACTGAAAGAGGACAAGTGGAAGTAAGGAGGAAAAGATAGGAGGCTACTGTAATAATTCAGCCAAGAGATGATGGTTACTTGGCCCACAGTGCTCAGAGTAGTGGTGGCAGAAAGGCAAGTGCTGAACATGGCAAAAGGAATGGACATGAATTCAGTAATTAGGAGAGTAAGGAGGGTCATGAAAAGAATGGTGGGACTGAACTACTTAGTAAGGAGATGGAACTTAGCCTAGCAGTGCAGGCGGTCAGGGAATATCGCCTACAGGAAGCTAATATGTGAAATAGGGCAATCAAATGTCCATGCTGGCCTGGGACTATCCTGGTTTTAACACTCCTTAGGGGCTAGTGGTACAGCAGGTTAAGATACTACCTGCAATGTCTGCATCACATTTGAGCACTAGTTTGAGTCCTGGCTGCTCCACTTCTGATCAAGCTCCTTGCTAATGTGACTGGAAAAGCAATGGAAGCCTGAGTGCTCAGGCCCCTGCCACTCATGTGGGAGACCTGGGATGGAGTGTCAGGCTCCTGGCTTCAGCCTGACCCAGCCATGGCTATTGCAGCAATTTGGGGAGCAAACAAGGGAATGAAAGATATTTTTCTCTCTTCTCTCTCACTCTTGCTCTCTTTCTCTATTTCTATGTAACCTTGCATTTTAAATACATACATACATACATACATTTATTTTAAAAAAAGAATCACCCCTCAGTCCCAGGGGCACTGGGATATTTGGCCAACATAGTGTGACAGTTTCGCCATGAAACTGGGGTGGTGGTCGAAGATGAGTAGATTCTAGGCAGAGTGGAGAGGGACCTGCTAGAGGTTATAATCAAGGGGAGGAGAGTGGCTATACATAAGGTATAGGAAGTAGCCAAGGACCCCGTTGAGCAGAGTTCTGCAGGCCATAAAATTATTGGAATTTGGGGCCAGTGCTGTGGTACAGTGGGTTAAGCTGCTGTTTGCAGTGCTCGTATCCCACATGCATACTGGTTTGAGTTCTGGCTGCTCTACTTCCAATCCAGCTCCAAGCTAATGGCCTGGGAAAAGCAATGGAGGATGGCCCATGTACTTGGGCCCCTACAGCAACATGGGAGATCCAGAAGAAGCTTCTGCTCCTGGCTTTGGCCTGGTCCAGCCCTGGCCATTGCAGCTATATGGGGAGTAAACCAGTCGATAGAAGCTCTCTCTTTCTCTCTCTGTAACTCTACCTTTAAATTTTTTTTTAATTTAAAAATTAAAAAAAGTACTGGAATTTGTCCCAATATCTTCAGGAGGGTTTTAGGCAATAAACGATAACTGACAACTCGGCAATTTTATCTCTCACCTCAGTTTAATCTTTAAAAATAACTGATTAAAATCATTTGTGAATTTTCAGATGAAGAACAAGGTGAAAGTGAGAAATTAATAAACAGTAGGAAATACAAGAGTATTTCAAAAAGTGTGGAACAAATGGAAGTAAAAGCTCAGTTTATTTTGGTGCAAAAATGTGTGAAATCCATGCATATGTAGGGCCTTCCAAAAGTTCATGAAAAATACATATTTTGAAAACACTATGCATGGATTTCAAGACATCATCAAAGCATTCCAGCTGAGTGTTCAGATGTTACTTGGAAGTCCTCATGTCCATTAAGGTCATGTTTCCTATGAAACTATTTTTTCCTTGTTTCCCTACTACATTAATAATACCACTATTTTTCTAAGTTCAGCTTCTTAGACTCATCATTTTTAACTATTTTTTTCAGTAATTTTTTCCTTCAAAATATCCTTTCTTAGCCCTGACTCTCAAGTCCCATTGTTGCCAGTTTTATGCTCTCCTCACATGAGCCTTGCCCATGGTGGACTAAGGTGGGGGTGTTTCTGGGTTTGGGGCGCCTTGGGTACAAATAGTAAGGGGAGAATGTTGTCTTTAGAGAATTTAAAAACCAATGTAAAACCAATAAGCAGTCAGTCTGCTTGGCATTATTTGTATATGCAAGTATTATAATTAACAATAATAATAAATCTCCTTCCCACTGGAACAAGTATTCCATTACTGTAGCAGTTTTTCATTAGTCTCCCTGACACCTGTCCTTGTCCTCCAAGCTCATTTTGCTAATTTACCAATGAAGGTATATTACTACCTGCTTCTATCTTCCCCGAATCTCAGGCTGCTCTCTGAAGTTTACAGGATCAAGCCCCATACTGCAGTCTAGCTTTAATTCAAGACATCAGTAACCCCAAGATAGCATGACAGCCAAAACTTATACTATTCACTCTGTGTCCTAAACCTTCTTTTCAATGAGAGTCTGTCTCAAAAACTCATTTTCCTGCAGCATTATCAGGGAAGAAAACTAGCTTTGAACCTCAGCACTAGCACTACCAATGACTGTGTGTGCCACCTTAAGCAAGTCATTTTCCCTCTACAAGCCTCTATTTTCTCATTAGTTCAATTAGGATAATAATACCTGCAAAGCTAAAGTCACAGGATTGCAGAAAGGGCCAAATGACATCATGGTTGTGAAAGAAGCCACCCACACGAGCCCTGATGATTGTTACGGGCAGTAGAGGTAATGCTTGTTAGAGCAGTGGTTGTCATGGTTATAGTGTTGACGTTCACAGTCAGGCATGGCTGATTTTGCTTGTGTTTTCTATTTGACCTTTTATATCTTTCTTCTTTACCATTCCACACTTTTCTCAACATTTAAGAAACAACTCTAGACCATCTCAATAATTCTTCTTGGGCTACCCATGTCTACCCTAAACTCTGCTCTCTAAAAACCCCCCAACACATATACACTGTGCCTTCAGGCAGGTACCGTACATATCATCTAGTATTGTGTATTGTCTTCCCACCAGGAGTGCACCTGCTGTATCTTATGTATATTTAGCATCTCTCTTTATGATGAACACACAATAGATGTTAAATCAAGAGGGGCTACAGTGAGTGAATGAATGAATGAATGAATTCATCTCTAATTTTTTTAGCCCCTCAAAGCAAAATATACTAATAGTGCCCTCTGCTGCTGACCAAGAATTCTGTTTTCCATGCAGTAGAAAATCAAGGGAGTGAATATTTAGTAAAAGGCATAGATAGAAATTATTGTGGCTTGCCAAGTGGTTGGGACAGAATGGACTAGAGGCAGCAGCTGGGAAGTCCTTGTGCAGATGAAGGGAGTGAGTCAGAGGGTCAAAGACGGCTGTCAGAAAGCCAAGCATCTGTGTTCTATATTGGTGACTGACATCCAGTTTGCAGTTAAAACATACTGTCAGTTCAGTGTGAGAAGTTTATCTTCTACTGCACCCCTGCCCAGCAATAAGTGTGTCATTTGTGGCTGGAAACCATTTCTAAATATACTTAAATGAAATTTAACTCTAAACATTCTGAAGGTTGTGGAATAATACTCTTACAACAAAATAAAACAAAAACAAGCCAGGAGAGGTGACACAAACACTGCTAGAGAGCTTAAGGTCCTATTCTTTTTCCCTTTTTGGGGGGTATTCTGAGATAGTAGAAGTAGTCATTCCCTTTTAATGATTGCCTGCTGTGTGCTTGGCAGTTTTTTCCATTGTTTCAATTGAATCTTGGGATAGGAGTGACTTGTCTTCTTTTCTCTCATTGAAAATGAGGCGGTTAGGAATGTATCCTGATTAAACAGCTAGAACAGGCAGCAAGGGATGCCGAGTCTATGTGACACTGTATCTATATAGTCTCTGCTGTTCTGTAGATCCCGATGAGGATGTCTGGAGGTGCCATTAGGGGACTTGGGTCCACAATTTGCCACTAACATTTTTTAATAAAGTTGAGCAAAGATGAGCAAAGCTGAGTAAATCCCTTCTCTCTTTGGGCCTGAGTGTCCCACTATCTGGAATAAGGAGTTTAGGAACAGGCGCTCTCTGGCCCTTCTAACTTGCAGTCAAACAACTACAGCAGCTTCATGTGCTGAACTATGAATGCAAAGCCCAACTGTGGCTCCCGTTTTCCCTTAGAGCCCCTATCACAGACTTGATCATCCTCACCTGATCAGCCCTAGAGAGTTAACTGTTGACCTCAGATCAACAATGAAAAGCATTCCATGCTGAGATTGGATAGCCATTCCAACAACTCTTCTATTTAATTTGCAAATCTTCCCGCATGTTAATGATGTTTTTCCCCCCACAGATGGTGAGGAATTCTAGTCATGATGGTACATTCGATACTGATTCTGGAGGCAAAGCAGATTTGAGTTTTCAGCATGCCAATTAGTCACACTTGACATATTTGACAATCAATCTTTAGCTGGTAAGTGCCTGGGTGGGCAACGTGTCCCAGGTTGATAAGCACCCCTCCGAAGAGTGGAGTCCCCAGGGAGAGCATCTCCACGTGGTGCTGTGCCTTTGAAGTGGCTCACTGGTGCTTCAAAGCAGAGTTCCTGGTACAGGGAGCAACATCTGATGTACTTTATTACCCTTAGAGACAAAAACACATCAATCAGAGGCCAAACGTCTGGAAGAAAAAATTTGTACCCTGTGCTCAGCCCTGCGGCCTGGAAGTTCAGAGAGGCTCAAAATGCTCCCTGTGAGGAAGCCAGAGCGTGTCTGAACACAGCCTTAATCGCACCTGACTGACTCAGAGCAGCAGCAGCAACCACCTCTCTGGAGACAGGCTCCTTCTTCTGGGTTTCCACTGGGGTGTGGAGGAGGGGGCGAGACTTGGGCTTAAAGCAGCTCTTACAGACTCCTGTCTGCCATGCATTCAAAAGCTCAAAAATGGACACAACTGTAAAATGTCCTTAGAACATGCAGCCACCTCTTTATTGGAGAGCTGAAATCCACTGTAAATTTCACTTCTGTCAAGTTATTTATTTGCCCTGGGTTCCCTTTTTCCCTGTATTCCAACAATGATCCAGTCCACTGAGGTGATGTTAAAAGTCTAATAGCTCCCACTCTAAATGACCAAGGCAGCTGAGCATTCTCTCTGGAGTCCTCACTGTTCCCACAGTGCTTTCCTGGCCTCTCTTCACTTGGCACTAAGTAGTTAAATGCAGAACAAGTTGCAAATTAAGGCCACTCAGAAGCCAATTGTGCCAAAAAATTGTTGCTACACCTTTATCTTGGGTACAGAGGGGGAAAACCCTAAGTAGTCTTTATTTAATTACCAATATTAACTTCAAAGAATTATAATTCTAGTTCATATTATCTTGTGAGAAAAACATGTCCTGAAACTCTGAACTTAAGTATAGTAAAAGCATTGGTGCCTGTTTAGTGAGTGTTGCTAAACACTGGAATATCATGAGAGACCACAACATTAGTCTGGTGACCAGAAGCCTTGAAGTTGGCTTCTGAGCCCTGGGGACTCTATAATTTATTCCAAGTCTAAGGAGTATGATTGCCTAAGACCTTCAAAGGCATCTGCAAAGTTCAGCAAACCAAAAAACAGGTACAGAGAACAAACAAAATAATTGTGATTGGACACTTGTTGCGTAATGTCCTATTTGACACTTCGGTTTTAAAACAGGCAAATTAGCCCCATTAACTCCTGCTAAAGATGGTTTGCTTCCAGGATTCCCAAGGATTCTGAAGCCTGTTCCCTGTTTGACATTGGAAGACACGTCCCTAATATAGCATTGCATGATTTTCTGGCTTGGTTGAAAGACCGACTCAATTTACCAAATGCTTTAGGCTTTCCAGACAACCCATCTCTGGACTGGAAGATATCCTTCATTCACATATATTTCTGACATAAAGGTGCAGGGTTTGAGTGAGTGGGCTGGTTCCAGGATTCTAGCCAATGAATGGTAGAAAGTTTCATGGACTTAAGTGCAGAGGGAAATACTGTGGGCAGAGACCACTGACTTTCTTCAGAGTGCAGGGCTTCCTTCAGCCATTTCTGACACAGGCTGCTCATTCACTTTGCAATAGGAAGCATGATCCTTGAGGGCTTCACCCCACCCACTTAAATAATACCTCCCTTGCAAAGGAAGAAAATTAAACTTCCTCTTTACCTGGTATTTATTGGGATTTTCATAGCATTCATTAAAGTACTTTCCCAAGGCAATCTGCAAAAAGATCTCATTCCATTCCCCCTCAAAATACCAACTTTAATATGAACTCTCCCAACTTCTTTTAAGGCTCCATATTTTAGAAACCAAGAAACCATCAAGTTCATATTCAACACTTTTCAGTTGAGAGCAGTGTGGTGAAATGAGAGGTCATGTGGCACATTTCTACTTGTTATTGGCAGAACATGTCTTCAAGACACCTTCTCTTTAAACCTTTCTCTGTCTCCAACCACTCCCTTCTCTGAACTCACATGGCCTTTTCTGCCTACCTCTATCATAATCCTTCTACCACGGCATTTACTCTGCTTATAGTGACCATTTGTTTATGCATATTTTTCTGCTATACTTTGCGTTCCTTAAAACAAGGGAGGGGATTGTGTTCGCTGGAATATTTCCCTAAGTCCACTACTAAATAACCGCTCAGAAACTATCTTAGGGGTGAATTCATAAGTGACCAGAGCTTTACTATGCCACTTCTCTTGTGACTGTTCATTTTCCCCATTTATAAGATGATTGCATTGATGTGTCTCTCAAGATAATTATGTACTTACGTGTGATTGGCAAGTGTTTCAAGACCATAAAAAAAAGTGCCAACTTGTAAGTGCCAACCATGATTATAACCTTTTGAAACAATGGGGTATATAGTTAAGAAGTGAAAAAAGATGGAACACACAGCAGGGAATGTTTTTTTCCCAGTCCCCATTCCTATCCCCAATCATGACCACAGAGAAACTCAGAGATAAAAACACAAATTTGGAAGGAATGAAGAGGGTTGAACTAGAGTTTAGAGAGAATTTCCAAGACCTTTTGCCATAACAATGACATCAGGAAGGAAAGCACCTACGTCTGACAAGAGGGGCCCAGGGCAAGATTGTCCACAGATACAGGAGACTTCTACCAGTTCACTGCAGAAAAGGAGATTTGGGCGGCACCTGATCGTATCTGTTCGACATTGTTTTGTCCTTCAAGAGTAAAAGATGAGAGAATTAGGAAAGGAACTGTGAAGGTAGAAAGGCTACCAAACTCAGCCCTATTCTGAATATCACAGGCTGGCCCACTTAAAGGAAGGGTGAGGTATGTCTTCTTCATCTCTTATTCCCCCTCCCCTAGCTGTGTCAAATGAAGTGCCAGAAAAGGTGTGTTGTAGGTAGAATAAACGGAGCACTCAGATTTCCCTCCCCACTGCTGTGTCAGGGAAAGAGACAGCAGAAACATCTTGCCTGTTTATTTTTATTGCGGTCCTTAACAAGATTTTTGAAGCCAAAGGTGACTCATTAACCCAACTTTTCTCATGGCTGATGACATCCACTGTAGAGCAAACCAGGATCAATGATAAGATTGTTCCAGACTCCACATTCCTGGACCTCAGAGGTCACAGCAGGCACAGAAAACACTGCGATTTAGAGGGAGGAGCAGGTGAGGGGAAGCTCTGACAGAATGTGTCCGCAGCTCTAACCAGCAGGGAGCTCCAAGAGTGGGTGCTGTTACTTGTCTCAATGTGTCTGAAGAAATCCATCAGGTCCAAAACAAAATGCGCCCTATGGCTCATGTTGGAAACATCGAATTATCTCGGAGTAGAGGATTTGTGGGTGGGCTGTTGGGACTATGTGGGAAGGTCACTTCACATCACAGCCCTCTTGGTAGGAGGTAGAGAGGGACGGAAACCAAGGGCTTGTGGTTTGGAGTTTTTGCCAAACGGCTCCTGTTTCTCCAAAGACTTCTGGAGGTGGGCGCAGTATAACTTTTTCCACTTCTCAGCCATACCATTGTCAGTCACCTAAGAATATTTAATGCTCTGGCAGAGGGAGCTAGTGAGGTGGCCTCCATTACCTCTTGTCTTGACGTCAGTGAGGGACTGGTTCCCTGTGGCTGTCTAATGTGAAATAATTCAGCATTTGTACTCCAATTAAAATTCATGGGTATATATTATTAAATGGTACTGACTCATTCCATGGCTTCTTCTCAACTGAGTAAGTGCCAAAAATGTTGCAGAGACGTTAATAATGAAGATTCCATTAAAACTGAGATTTCCTGGTCAAACAGTAATTCAGGGCCATGAAGAAAGCATTTCTCATGTCCAAACTGTCCCACTGTCCTGTGTCTGTCTTCTGAAGAAGAAACCCAGGTCAAGAATCTTTCTGCCTTTGAGAGAAAGGAAAATGCTACCATAACTAGAATCCTCTTTTCCTTTTGTGAACTTCATGAAACCACCACTGGGCACAAGTTATGAGCCCCAAAATGGAGCTAAGTCACATTGAATTATGCAATCCATATTCAATATTACTCAGAGGACAGAAGGGGGAATAAGCCATCTCTCATCACTTAGCAGGAAAATAAAAGAGGAAAAAGAATTTTCTTGGGGCTGGTGTTGTGGTGTAGCTGCTAAAGCCACCCCCTGTGATGCTGGCATCCCATATGTGTGACGGTTTGCGTCCTGGCTGCTCCACTTCCCATCCAGATCCTTACTAAGGTGCCTGGGGAAGCAGTGGCTTGGGCCCCTGCCATCCACACGGAATATCTGGAAGAAGCTCATGGCTCCTAGCTTCTGTCTGGCCCAGCCTGGCCATTGCAACCATCTGGGCAGTGAACCAGCAGACAAATGATCTCACTCTATCTCTCCCTCCCTCTCCTTCTTTGCAACTCTGTCCTTCAAATAAATAAGAGGAATCTTTTAATAAAACGTAGGAGATGGGATGGTTTGTGGGTGGGAGGGTGATTACCGGGGGAAGAACCGCTATAATCCAAAAGTTGTACTTTCAAAATTTATATTTATTAAATAAAAGTTTTCTATTAAAAAAGGTATTCTTGATTTTTCAAAACTCAAACTTTTTTCTTAACATCAATTTATACTTTTTAAGGATTTATTTATTTATTTGAAAGTCAGAGTTACACAGAGAGAAGGAGAGAGGTCTTCCATCTACTGGTTCACTCCCCAATTGGCTGCAATGGTTGCAGCTGCGCCGATCCAAAGCCAGGAGCCAGGAGATTCTTCCGGGTCTCCCACACGGGTGCAGGGGCCCAAGGACTTGGGCCATCTTCTACTGCTTTCCCAGGCCATAGCAGAGAGCTGGATTGGAAGTAGAGCACCCAGGACTCAAACTGGCACCCATATGGGACGGCTTTACCTGCTACGCCACAGAGCCGGCCTCTATACTTTTATATTTAATAGGCCTGGGTGCATGGCTGAGGGAGAAATGCTCCAGGAGTTTTCTTCTCCTCTCTGACTCAAAAGACTGAACAT